ATTGTGTAAAATAATGTTGCTCTCTACCAGATGAATCGATAAACATTCTGAAAAGCTGATATTCTTTGTGGGTGTACCTTTTTATATCTGCAATCGCCTGAGTTCGTCAGAAACAGCGTTTAGCAGAAATTGATAAGTATACTAAGTGACATATAAATCCGAACACCCAGTTTAAATGGTTTTATTTTAATAAAAGTTGGTGAATGTATTTATCTTACTGTAAATAACAAGTGAAAAAATGTTCAGCCTTATCAGTTGGACATTCCGGTTTTTATACTGCTTTTTTTTAATTCACTAACGCTCTAAAAATGAATATTTCAGCCGCAGTAAAGAATCAACGTTGGCGGATTTTGGTTCTTGACATCCTTTGCGATCGGTTACGATGCCTAGAGTACGGAGACCTGTACGATTTCGTCAACTTAGTGAGTTTGATAGGGGCCGTATAGTGGGACTTCGGGAAGCTGGACTTTCTTTTCGGGCAATTGCAGTTAGAGTGCAAAGAAGTGTAGACACTGTGGTTAGGTGTTGTCAGGCATGGCTTCGAGAAGGCCGTACGCAAAGGGCAAGGGGCACTGGACGCCGCCGTAGAACAACAGACCGTGAAGATCGCCGCCTAAGATTATTGGCCTTAAGGGACCGTTTGTCCACTACCAGGTCCATTGCAAATGAATGGTTTGCAGAACACGGAAGACCTATTGGCATGCGAAGTGTTTACCGACGAATGAGAAGTTTTGGCTTGTTTTCATACCGGCCACACTGGGTCCTCCCTTTAACTCGAGAACACCGACGTAATCGCCTTGAGTGGTGCAGACAACGGTCACTCAGGCATCAGGAATGGAACAGTATTGTCTTTAGTGACGAGTCTCGATTTTGTTTAGACATGCACGATGGTCGTGCCAGGGTTAGAAGGCGACGTGCTGAAAGGAGGAATCCACAGTTTTTTGTTGAAAGACATGTTCATCACATGGTTTGGGGTGCTATAGCTTATGGTTCCAGGTCACCTTTAATCTTCATCAGAGGTAACATGAACGCGCAGCGTTATATCCACGAAGTTCTAGAACCCCATCTTTTACCCTATCGTGACACCCTGGCAGATCCTACTTTCCAACAAGATAATGCCCGACCACATGTTGCAAGAGTCACAATAGACTTCTTTCAACATAATGATGTCACATTGTTACCATGGCCACCAAGATTTCCCGACTTATCCCCAATTGAGCACGTGTGGGATATGATGGGTAGGAGATTGCTCAATTTGCAACGTCCTCCTCAGACTCTAGAAGCACTTCGAGAGGAGTTGGTGGTTGCCTGGAATGAGATACCACAGAAGGACATTCACCACCTGATCAGAAGCATGCCTAGGCGCGTTGGAGAATGCGTAGCACATCAGGGTGCATCCACACATTATTAAAGGTCAAAAGGCTTTAAAGCAGTGCAATCATTTTGAAATTTACTTATCATTTACTTATTATGCTTCATTAAGTACTTATACAAAATTTTATTAAAATATAACCATTTAAACTGGGTGTTCGGATTTATATGTCACTTAGTATATATAAGAGACGCGAAAGAACTGGAGCAAGCTCCGCTGCACATCTCTTCAATACAACGGCAGGAATCAGGACCGGACCACAAGCTTTGTTGATGTCGAGCCATAAGAGCCACCCGTCTTACGGTCTTATACCTGAATTTTACTCCGCGCATAATCTAGGAAACCTTTTGAATTGACGACACTTTGGCGTCCATGTTAATTCATGCACAAGAAATCCATCAAAGGTTTAAATTACCGCAACTGATTCTCCATGAACTAAAGTTTTGTGTAGATCCTAAACTTGTACGATACTCGGCCAGTACATACCGCATCTACAAAATCAAAATAACAGTTCGTCGACCCAACGAACCAATCCGAGCATGCAGCTCCAATAATTTTACATTTCCTCCGAAATCGGATTTAAACCGAAATCCATTACATTGTGTAGTACAAGTCTACTGAAAATAAATGCTGACGTTCATATGTGCAGTATCTGGCTCATCTGGACATTTGCGTATTTCATGCTGTCGGAGTAGCACGTATCGATCTGTAGGAATCTGCTGATATACAAGACAATTATTTGCCGTAGACGCAAATTCAATAAGCTGTCTGTTTGGGCATGCAGCAACATGACTTGACGTCAGGCAAGGTAAACGTCGATATGTGTTGAGACTTGAACGCTAAACGCCTGGAACTGATCAACTTGCAATCTCGCGTGCTCCTACATCAAATGAAGTGTTTTTTCAAACACAAAACTTTGTCATTAAGACTCCGTAGTTCCAACTTATCAGTTGTAACAAACCAATTTATTGCTTACTTCCGTTTATAATATATATATATATATATATATATAGTCAACGCCAAAAAAAGTGGCGTGCACGTCATCAAGGTGGGTGTGTTGAAAAATTTACATTGTTGCCAAACTTTTTGTAAAATAATAAAATTTATTATTTACATATCTAGGTTTATAAGCAATATTAACCTCAAATGAGAACAAAAATAATAGTATAATAAAATTATAGATCTGTACTTGCATAATCATTAAGTATGACAATTATTGATCAGATGACACTATGAAACTACCATATTTAATTGATAGCTTAAAGGTACTGAATAAAAATCCAAATGGGGTCCTCCAAATTTTATGCATGGTATTTATTTTACAGAATTCATACAGAAAAATGCATTCTAAAATTAGGTAAGCTACTGGTGTAAGCTTTTTCTGTACAATAAAGTTAGTCGGAGTTTCTTTCTTCAGCGCTGTCTGAATCTGAATCTTCATCACTCTCAAAGTTGATTATTAAAGGTTCGATGTCTGGTCGATCAAAAATTCGTTCTCTTTCATACCATTTAAAAATTTCTTGCTCAGTATGTCGAACACTATTTTTCCACATGTCTGGGGTAACCGTTTGTAGAGCCTCGTTCCACATATTCAAACAGTCGCTTTCACTGTTACCATCTCTACCAATATGTCTGTTATAGTAACCTTTTGCTATGCCCCAAATTAACTCAATAGGGTTAAATATACAATGGTAAGGAGGCAGACGAAGAACTTTGTGCCCATGTTGTTCCGCCAATTCATCAATCACGTATATTTTAGGTGGTTTGTTTCTAAAAAAGCAGTTATTTTAAGAATAGGAATAAACAAAAGAAATATAAACTGTCGACCAAAATATATATAATTAAGAAGCATTATGTACCGAGCAACAATACTCAATAGCTCTGTTTTAAACATTGTGTTTAAAAATGGTATGTTTTGATTTGTCAACCAGTCTTGGATATTTTTTTTTGTCCATGCATTGTTGGGCACTTTGTTCAATATCATGCTGTGATAAGGGGCGTTATCCAGTATAATCATAGATGGACTCTCCAATTTTTCTAATAACTGATGTTGAAACCATTTCAAAAAATTGTCCTGGTTCATCTCTCCATGGTAATCGCTCAATTTTGTTTTCGAAGAAAATATCGCTTCACTACCCTCAATAAACCCATTTTCATTTCCAGCATGTAATATAATGTATCTAAAATATATTAGTTTTAAATTTTATAGTGCAAATTGTGTAAAAGTACATACCTTTTACCATCTGTTTTAATAGCTTTCACGCTTTTTTGGTTTCCATTTTGCCAAGAGCGACCTATGGTCCCATTTTGAAATATCCAAGTTTCATCGAGGAAGACCAACTGGTATAAGGCCTCAACCTTGGCTTGATTGTATTGCCTTAGAAATTCCACCATTTTCAAAGCTATACTTGGTAGTTCCATGAGCCCTCGTCGCGGATTGTCCTTAAGCCACTTAAATCCAAGATCTCTAAGCAACCGCCTTAAAGACGTGGCACTACCATCAAATAATGCCCTATCTCTTAATCGAGACCATAAAGTTTGTATCGTAACTTGTTCTTCTGAAACCATGTGTAATATGACATTATAATTTAGTTAACAAATTAATGCAAATTTCTGATAAGTTATTATAATAAGATCTTACTTTTGTGATACATATTATAGATCACTTCTCGAATGGCACTTGTATCCAATGTCACTGTGTTGGTTACACGTTTAATATAACTCCGCTTTTTCTTGGGCGGTTCTAAATTTGCATCACTTTTCACACCCTCGGAAATACGACTAACTGTCCTTAAACTAATTTTTAAAGCAGCAGCAACACGCTACAAAAAATGAAATAAAATTTCACTATTATTAATATACATTACATATAATTATTAGTAACCTACCTCTTGAACAGCATTTAAAGGCAACAAAGGCCCGTTGTTGTCCCTTTCTTGCTCAAAGTAGTGCATTAACGAGGCCACGAGTTCCTTACACCGACTATTTAACTGTTTGGGCATCTTTATATACCAAAATTGCCTTTATCTACTCGTAAAATGAATAATTTTGATTTGAAACAAACAGTTGTTGATTTAGAGTATGCGGGGCCAAAGGATTTATAAAGATTTGAAATGCCACAAATTGATTCAGTGTCAAAATTAATACAAATGTCAGTTCCCAGTTTAAATAAGTTTCAAGGTGACAATGTGTCAACGCTGCGAAATCGGTTTAGTGCGTTTACATGTCGATAAGTGATTGGAGCGTTTGCAAAACATTTTATTTCGCATAATGCGTCTAAATTTATCAGAAAGCAACTTATGTGATATTTTAATAACAATGTTTATATGACTATTAACCATAATAAGAGAGTAATGACCATTTTACAATTTATATATCACATTAATATGAAACTGCAATAGAGCAATTGTTTGTGATAGAAACCTAGGCATTAGGTCGGGGAATTTTTATCGTGATGACGTGCACGCCACTTTGTTTGGCGTTGACTATATTAAAATTGTCCAGCTCATCCGGATGCTAAAAATTTGGACTGTATTAACCCCCAAACACGAGTTCCAAACTACAGACTATGGATCAGAGTGTAATTCACAGTTTAAAAAACCATTATCGTCAAGTTTTTCTTTCGAGAATGGTAAATTTTAATGATAGTGGCGGGGAAAATTTTACAATCAATCTTTTGGATGCAATAAACATCATTCATATGGCATCGCAAAAGCTATCAAAAGAAACAATTTTAAATTGTTTTACGCATGAGGGTTTCTTGGAGGTTGAGGATCATTTTGATCCTGTCGATGACCTGCCATTAATTGAGTGGATGAAGAAAATTCAACAGGAAGACGATCTTCGAGACAATATTAGAGCCGGTCTGCCTTATAGTGAGTTTGTTCATATTGATGACCAAGTTGTGTTGTCGAATACCTGGATGATGATGCCATTGTAGCTGCTATATTTTCGGCAGTTGATACTGATGATGACGGAGAAAAGGAAAATAAAGATGAAGAATCTGTCGATATGGAACTGATACCGACTCCAACCACATCAGAAGCACTTCGACATATTGATAGCGTTCGTCATTTCCTTCAGTCACGAAATACGCTGCGGAGTGTGCTAGATCGACTAGCTGAAGTGCAATTACATATTAATGATACTGATTTCACGAAAATAAACCAAAGTAAATAAAGTACATGATTTTTTCAGAAAGATCTTAAAAAATTTTACAAATGTGGATTATAGATATTATTATATACTATTACAAACATTTTATACACCCTTGGTTAGATAATAAACTAATGAAAAATATTTTCTGGTATTAGCATTATTTATCGTTTGTTACGAACTTCGCTCATAGCGAACCAGTTTCGCCGGTCCCCTGAGGTTCGTTATAAGCGGACATTATTCTATTTGCAAAAAAGGTGAATGCGACACCTTTTCTGATCGAACTGATACTGTTAAACTATACTAAGTGACATATAAATCCGAACACCCAGTTTAAATGGTTTTATTTTAATAAAATTTAGTATAAGTACTTAATGAAGCATAATAAGTAAATGATAAAAATTTCAAAATGTTTGCACTGCTTTAAAGCCCTTTGACCTTTAATAATGTGTGGATGCTCCCTGATGTGCTACGCATTCTCCAACGCGCCTAGGCATGCTTCTGATCAGGTGGTCAATGTTTTCCTGTGGTATCTCATTCCAGGCAACCACCAACTCCTCTCGAAGTGCTTCTAGAGTCTGAGGAGGACGTTGCAAATTCAGCAAACTCCTACCCATCATATCCCACACGTGCTCAATTGGGGATAAGTCGGGAGATCTTGGTGGCCATGGTAACAATGTGACATCATTATGTTAAAAGAAGTCTATTGTGACTCTTGCAACATCTGGTCGGGCATTATCTTGTTGGAAAGTTGGATCTGCCAGGGTGTCAAGATACGGTAAAAGATGGGGTTCTAGAACTTCGTTATAATTATAATATTAAGAAAAACAATACATTAATTGACAAATGTTTACGTAAGCATGAGGGGAGGGGGTAAGAGCTTTGCTTACTTTTGCTGACAGGGGGATGGGGGGTAAATAAATCTGCTTACGTAATACTTCAACGGCCCCTTATCACATTTTTTCTGAAGCACCCTATATAGACAATTTTTTGAGCTACATCTCACCTTATGTAGACAATTTGAGCCAATTGAGCGTTTTGCTTAAAGAACGCGTTATGGGTTCTGAGCGCGTGACGAGGCCTATGATGAGGCTGCTCGAAGTAAGACCGAAGCAACAAAGCTTCAACGCTACAGTTGACGGATGCCTTGTAATATTGAGCCGAATTTGGTGTGGGATGCATCAGCTAGTGCGGCTGGACATCCGGGAATGCGATCCCGTTCCCGTTTCAGAAGCAAGAGCAGAGCTGGAGCGGCGGCAAGCCGAAGTATCTGCGGAAATTCTCTACAGGCCGAGACCGAGAAAGGGAAGAATGACGCGGCCGTCGACGGGATATATCGGCGGAACGGGATATGGGGCTACTCAACAACAACCGGCTCTCTCTTTCAACAACGCCTCCTCTAACTACGCAGAGGCGGGCGCTCACGAATATGGGGTCACGCTCGATGGGGTAGTAGTTGCGAAGACACTAGGTCATCAAAACTCTCCAATGCTGCCCAAGTAGCACATTGGTCGAACTTTGTTCTTATATTGGATCAATATTCAAATATTGTATTATACTGGCTATATATACTAAGTGAAATATAAATCCGAACACCCAGTTTAAATGGTTTTGTTTAATAAAAGTTAGTGAATGTATTTATCTTACTGTAAATAACAAGTGAAAAAATGTTCAGCCTTATCAGTTGGACATTCCGGTTTTTATACTGCTTTTTTTTTAATTCACTAACGCTCTAAAAATGAATATTTCAGCCGCATTAAAGAATCAACGTTGGCGGATTTTGGTTCTTGACATCCTTTACGATAGAGTACGGAGACCTGTACGATTTCGTCAACTCAGTGAGTTTGATAGGGGCCGTATAGTGGGACTTCGGGAAGCTGGGCTTTCTTTCCGGGCAATTGCAGTTAGAGTGCAAAGAAGTGTAGACTCTGTGGTTAGGTGTTGTCAGGCATGGCTTCGAGAAAGCCGTACGCAAAGAGCAAGGGGCACTGGACGCCGCCGTAGAACAACAGGCCGTGAAGATCGCCGCCTAAGATTATTGGCCTTAAGGGACCGTTTCTCCACTACCAGGTCCATTGCAAATGAATGGTTTGCAGAACACGGAAGACCTATTGGCATGCGAAGTGTTTACCGACGAATGAGAAGTTTTGGCTTGTTTTCATACCGGCCACACTGGGTCCTCCCTTTAACTCGAGAACACCGACGTAATCGCCTTGAGTGGTGCAGACAACGGTCACTCTGGGATCAGGAATGGAACAGTATTGTCTTTAGTGACGAGTCTCGATTTTGTTTAGGCATGCACGATGGTCGTGCCAGGGTTAGAAGGTGACGTGGTGAAAGGAGGAATCCACAGTTTTTTGTTGAAAGACATGTTCATCACACTGTTGGAGTTATGGTTTTGGGGTGCTATAGCTTATGGTTCCAGGTCACCTTTAATCGTCATCAGAGGTAACATGAACGCGCAGCGCTATATCCACGAAGTTCTAGAACCCCATCTTTTACCCTATCTTGACACCCTGGCAGATCCAACTTTCCAACAAGATAATGCCCGACCACATGTTGCAAGAGTCACAATAAACTTCTTTAAACATAATGATGTCACATTGTTACCATGGCCACCAAGATCTCCCGACTTATCCCCAATTGAGCACGTGTGGGATATGATGGGTACGAGATTGCTCAATTTGCAACGTCCTCCTCAGACTCTAGAAGCACTTCGAGAGGAGTTGGTGGTTGCCTGGAATGAGATACCACAGGAGGACATTGACCACCTGATCAGAAGCATGCCTAGGCGCGTTGGAGAATGCGTAGCACATCAGGGTGCATCCACACATTATTAAAGGTCAAAGGGCTTTAAATTTTTATAAATAAATATTATAAATAAATTTTTATCATTTACTTATTATGCTTCATGAAGTACTTATACAAAATTTTATTAAAATAAAACCATTTAAACCGGGTGTTCGGATTTATATGTCACTTAGTATACATCAATTTTATATCATTATAAAGAGAATTGAAAGACCTTTGGAATAAGGTATCATTCGAACCCCCTTTCCATTTGAGATTTTAGGGTGGGTGTCGCCCCCGCCCAGGGGGCTGCACGTGTTAACGTGATTTTTTGCCAAAGTTGTGTCCCCCTCGAAAACAACTGAGCTGCCAGTAAATGCGTCTGTTTTGTTTTCGATGCGCCACCCTGTATAGTACTTTTCTTTAATGCCCCCCTCCTTCATCAGTAAACGCGTCGAGTTCAGCTTAGAAGATGCTGGAAATGGTTGGCTTGAACTTCTTGACACAATAACAGCCGGTCCGTAATTTCGCGTCGAACATTTTCAAACATAGTAACATCGATATTTCTACAAATATTTTTTATTCTCAGCCTGATATCCAATATTGAAGCAGGTTCAGTTTCCTACACTTTTTACTTCAAATAGCCGCATTAATCATCATTTTTGTCTTTCCAGTCATTACCAATTGCTATAAGGGAAGACAACTGTATCATAGTTTTCAGTATTACTGTGTTGGCTGATCTATTGCTGATACCGCATCGGATTGGGTATCCCGCAGATTCATCAAAAACCCATTCAGTAGAGATGTGCACGTCGCTGGAGATATTCCTTTATTTGGACTTAGCTTAAGGCATGCTATCCTGTTCGTTAAAATTGATTTCTTGTAAACTGCGGTGGCTGAGTTCCAGACGCGTCCCTTTTGCCCATCTCAAGGTTTCCGTCAGTTCGCCTTAGCCGCCTGAACGCCACCAAACATTAATTATATCCATATTGGACGCCTGCGGATATCGAAAAATATAGAAGAGTTTCGATTTTATCTGAATTCCTTTTGAGTGTGTTTTCGAGGAAACGTTATCGCTATGGTAGTCAATTTTGCGTCTTTGTATACCAAACCTGTCTTTATATTAATGTTGGCAACTACCCCTTCAATTCTTTCCATGGGTTCCAGAGGATACAATAATAATAATGATAATAATAATAATATACTAAGTGACATATAAATCCGAACACCCAGTTTAAATGGTTTTATTTTAATAAAATTTCGTATAAGTACTTAATGAAGCATAATAAGTAAATGATAAAAATTTCAAAATGATTGCACTGCTTTAAAGCCCTTTGACCTTTAATAATGTGTGGATGCACCCTGATGTGCTACGCATTCTCCAACGCGCCTAGGCATGCTTCTGATCAGGTGGTCAATGTCCTCCTGTGGTATCTCATTCCAGGTAACCAACAACTCCTCCTGAAGTGCTTCTAGGGTCTGAGGAGGACGTTGCAAATTGAGCAATCTCCTACCCATCATATCCCACACGTGCTCAATTGAGGATACGTCGGGAGATCTTGGTGGCCATGGTAACAATGTGACATCATTATGTTGAAAGAAGTCTATTGCGATTCTTGCAACATGTGGTCGGGCATTATCTTGTTGGAAAGTTGGATCTGCCAGGGTGTCAAGATAGGGTAAAAGATGGGGTTCTAGAACTTCGTGGATATAACGCTTCTCGTTCATGTTACCTCTAATGAAGATTAAAGGTGACCTGGAACCATAAGCTATAGCACCCCAAACCATAACTCCAACAGTGTGATGAACATGTCTTTCAACAAAAAACTGTGGATTCCTCCTTTCACCACGTCGCCTTCTAACCCTGGCACGACCATCGTGCATGCCTAAACAAAATCGAGACTCGTCACTAAAGACAATACTGTTCCATTCCTAATCCCAGAGTGACCGTTGTCTGCACCAATCAAGGCGATTACGTCGGTGTTCTCGAGTTAAAGGGAGGACCCAGTGTGGCCGGTATGAAAACAAGCCAAAACTTCTCATTCGTCGGAAAACACTTCGCATGCCAATATGTCTTCCGTGTTCTGCAAACCATTCAGTTGCAATGGACCTGGTAGTGGAGAAACGGTCCCTTAAGACCAATAATCTTAGGCGGCGATCTTCACGGTCTGTTGTTCTACGGCGGCGTCCAGGGCCCCTTGCTCTTTGCGTACGGCCTTCTCGAAGCCATGCCTGACAACACCTAACCACAATGTCTACACTTTTTTGCACTCTAACTGCAATTGCCCGAAAAGAAAGTCCAGCTTCCCGAAGTCCCACTATACGGCCCCTATCAAACTCACTAAGTTGACGAAATCGTACAGGTCGCCGTACTCTAGGCATCGTAACCGATCGTAAAGGATGTCAAGAACCAAAATCCGCCAACGTTGATTCTTTACTGCGGCTGAAATATTCATTTTTAGAGCGTTAGTGAATTAAAAAAAAAGCAGTATAAAAACCGGAATGTCCAACTGATAAGGCTGAAAATTTTTTCACTTCTTATTTACAGTAAGATAAATACATTTACCAACTTTCATTAAAATAAAACCATTTAAACTGGGTGTTCGGATTTATATGTCACTTAGTATATTTAAAGCTGTAATGACTCATACGCGTGATCAACACGTGATCAGAGCTCGATCCCGGCTTCCTTCCAGTACAGCCGTATAGCGTACGACATATGTCGTTTCTGTGGCTTTGCTGTGGTCAACAGCACAGACAGAGATGGAAATAATGGCTGATTGTTCTCCGCCGGTAGAACCAATGAAATCAAAGACGCGCCTCGACCGGCAGACTCATAGGCGTCGGCAACGCATTGGAACGTGTTTCGTTGAGCGATCGCATATTGTGTGTTTTTATAAGAATTGTTGTGTGATTGTTATTGTTGTGGTTTCTGTGGTTACTGTTTTGGTTATACTTAACCATGGAGAGTACAAATGGCACGAGTGGAAGTACTGAAAGCCAGGGAACAAGTAGACGGCTTCGTAAAGCACTGAAGAGGGACGCGAAAGAAATCGTGCTCAACGTGTTCAATTATCTGAACAGAACTATGTCGCAGGGAGGTGCACTCACGCGTTGTGAAAGTATGACAGGCGTTCCATAGTTGACCATTCGCAGGGTGGTGCATGAAAAGAAGAAAACTGGAGCTATTACTGATCCAAAGTTTAATTTGAAGGGACGAAAGGCCGTTAAATTGGATGACGATAGCAAAAAAGCGTTAAGGCGAACCGTACATTCATTCTTCTTTAGATATGAGATACCAACCCTCAAGGCTGTACATGCAGCGATCAAGGAAAATGAAATTATACCCCAAATGAGCATCGAGGTAATGAGGAAAATTCCCTGCACGAAATTAATTTTCGTTACGAAACGCGTAATCGGAAGTCAGTATTGATAGAGCAGAAAAATCTATTATTTGGACGAGACATGGGTAAATGCAGGTCACACAGTTAAAAAAACCTGGATAGACAAAAACGTAGTGAGTAACCGACAAGCAAGCATTGAAGGTTTGTCAACAGGTCTTCGTGGACCGTCAGGGAAAGGTCAAAGATTGATCGTAACTCATATTGGTAGCGATAGTGGCTTTTTAGAAGAGTGTGACTTGATTTTCGTCTCTAAGAAAGGAGGTGATTACCATGACGAAATGAATGCCAGCTGCTTCGAGAGCTGGTTTC